CAAGTACAACTCATCAACTATCCCTTTTTGGCTTTTAAAATGCTGTCGGGTTTTGTCCTGTTAGGAACAGGGTCTGAAGTGAAGCCAGTTAACTAAGATTAAGGTATCTGAAAGTGCCTGGCTCGGGGGAGACACTCAATAAATCCCCTCCCAAAGTCAGTCACCTTGGATAGAAAGATTTCTTGCCAGGGTATATTCAAGGAGCTTCCTGTTCACAGGAACCGTTAGCTACAGTTCTGGGAATACTGAAGAAGTGCTGTATTAAAGTAATACATCAGACAATCCTTCTAATTTTCATGGGCCTAATCTGCCTCTTGGGTGAATCATTTATTTTTACCACTTATACCGTATCTTGGCTCCGGAGCCTGCCTACTGTATCATTCCATTCCATCCTGGATTCTCCTATGGGGAGCCAAGTACACATGATGGCCCCACAGGTCTTGGTCATAGTACCTATCGTCTGGGGGCCAATCAAGGAAAACTACCACTGGATGCTAGAACTCCAGCTATCATGACCATACTCCAAGAAGCAGAGAAGAGGTAGCTTTTTTTTTTTGAGATGGAGTCTTGCTCTTGTCATGCAGGCTGGAGTGCAGTGGCACCATCTCAGCTCACTGCAAACCTCCACCTCCTGGGTTCAAGCAATTCTCCCTCCTCAGCCTCCTGAGTAGCTGGGATCACAGGCGTGCGGCACCATGTCCGGTTAATTTTTGTATGTTTAGTAGAGACAGGGTTTTGCCATGTTGGCCAGGCTGGTCTCAAACTCCTGACCTCTGGTGATCCACCGCCTTGGCCTCCCAAAGTGCTAGGACTACAGGCGTGAGCCACCGTGCCTGGCTAGAGGTAGCCTCTTTGGAGAGCTTTTCTGGAAGCATCCACTCACATCTTAGTGGCCAGACTTAGTCCTGTGGCCAGCTGTCATCTTTGAGCTGGGCATATTGCTGTTCTTCACGAAACAGGCCTTGAAACTATGGGAGATGGGAGAACAGCCACTGGGGAGCACAGTAGCCACCTCTCTCACTTCAACCTATACCTGACCCTGCTAGATGCTACATTTTGCCTGATCACAGGTACATCCTAGTTCTCAAGGATCCCACATATATATACCATTTCTCTTCTTGAAGAGTATGGAAGGATAAAGAAGGTAGAGTTTGGCAAGAGATAGTCTGGGCTTCCTAAGGCCATTTAGTGTGGGGACAGATAGTGAACTTGCAGTGGTGAGGCAGATAAATCAGTTTCCAAGTGGGCTTTCTCCCAGATGCCAGAGACCTTGGCTGTTCCTGTTTCATCATGCAGTCTATTAACAAAGGTTTTACTTAAGAAAAATATGTGGCACAAGTGCTACCCTCTCTCTCACTCCTTCCCTCATGGCGGCTCCCTTCTCTGCTAAGCTGGAACATGACCTCAGAATCCTCAACACAACATCCCTGGCAGTTACTCTGGTCCAAAAGACTTGGCACTACTACTTAAAACTATTAGCCATCCTTATTTTCTTGCGGGAATTTTTATTTGCATAGAGAATTTCTGGGTAGTTCCTAATTTCATGGAAATAAATTTCTCATGGTGCAATTTGAGGTATATGCCCAGGCAATAAATGTAGATATTTATAGGTGGCAGGCGTGGCATTCCTTAGATTTCACCACTCAGTGGCTGCAATCACTCTCATTGCTGGAAACTTGTTCTTGTGATTGTTTAACTTACTGGACTGTGAATTTCTCCAGAATGGAAACTATAATCCACTTTTGTATAAAAGTGGTTCCTGGCTCAGTATACTCTCAAAAATGTTATCCATAAATGAGTCACCTGCCTTGATCAAGGTCAAGTGGCTATCAAAGTAAATACTTCCCCTGTAGCTGGTTACACTGTGGACTGCCTACCACCAAGGACAAAAGGCAGGCCTCATTTGGAGAGGAGGTCGGTGATAGGAGGAGCATCAGTAGCACAACACACAGAAGGTCTTGGTTATTCCACAGCTGCCTTAGAAATGCTTGAGTAACTGTCATGAGAAACTGACTAGCAGGTGAAAGGGCAGCCATACCCCGAGGAGACGCTACACATTTTCCTTTTCACGAAAGGTTCAGGTCCTGGGCTAACTCAGCTCAGTGTTTTCTGTGTTCCAGGAGGTGACTCAGGCAGTTGTGCAAATGACTGACTCATATTTCATGGATATGAGTATGGCTGATGTAAGATTGCAATTATCTCCTCCTGATTCAATTAAGGTAGCCTATTCTTGATTGTTTTTATAAGTAGATCTATAAATTATACAAGTTGATACTAATATCGCTTACGTTTTAAATAGTGTGGTTCCACAGAAAATTTTGTTTTTTTCTGTGAAAAACAAAGCTACTATTGCTAAAACAGCATCGAGAGCACTGACTTAGCTATAGTTCATCTGAGTTTTTTTTTTTTTTTTGAGACAGAGTCTCGCTCTGTCGCCCAGGCTGGAGTGCGGTGGCGCGATCTCGGCTCACTGCAACCTCCGCCTCGCGGGTTCAGGCCATTCTCCTGCCTCAGCCTCCCAAGCAGCTGGGACTACAGGTGCCCGCCACCACGCCTGGCTAATTTTTTGTATTTTTAAAAGAGACAGGGTTTCACCGTGTTAGCCAGCATGGTCTTGATCTCCTGACCTTGTGATCCACCCGCCTTGGCCTCCCAAATTGCTCGGATTACAGGGGTGAGCCACCATGCCCGGCCCACCTAAGTTTTATATTTACCTGGTTACAGTGATCAAATTATTCAACAGTGATCATGGAGAAAGATGAAACAAAATAATTCCCAAAAGATTCTTTCTGCTCAAACAGCAGGGTGCGTATGAGTAGATCCAGGCCAATTTCTTTTTTTTTTTTTTAAGAGACAGGGTCTCACTATGTCACCTAGGCTGGAGTGCAGTGGTGCAATCATAGCTCACTGCAGCCTCCAACTCCCAGACTCAAGCCATCCTCCTAATCCTCCTCAAGCTTGAGGACAGGCCTTGTTACAGTGCTCAGTGTGTACCTCTCCCCTTCCCCACTCCCCTTGTCCACATTCTGGGCTAGACCCACACTCTACTGAGGAACTGTCCCTGTATTTTGATTCCCGAGTGACACAGTGCTGGCGATGCTGTGGCTAGATACACGTTATTTCTGCATATGGCTATTCCTCAACCTTGTTGCCTGTCTTCTTACTCTGGTCTGAGGGCTGAACCCCACAGAAATAACAAGGCTACCCTCATCCCTTTCTCTCCCTTAAAGGTTAGTACTAGTCCTAAGTGGTCAGCTCCCAGCTTCCTTTAGGACAGAAAAAAGAGGAGAGAAGCAACACTTGTTTTTCTACTCACAAAGTCCCGGAGATGGGAGGTAGGAGGTTGGCGTGGATGTAGCTTGGACTTCGGAATTTAGAACCAGGTTCAAATCCCCAGTTAGGACATTTCTCAGTATTTTGATCTTGCATAGGTTTACTTATCAGAGTTAAAGTGTCTATTTATAAAATGGGGTACAACTTATCAGATTTAGATGTAAGAAATAGTATAGTGCATGGCAGCTAGCAGGGTTTCAACAAATGACATCTCTCATTACTATCATTTTGACATCACATTTCTCTGCTTAGAGTTGGTTACTGTTCTGCAATTTTTCCCAAAGTGTCACTGTGTGTCAGGCAGGGAGCATCTGCCTGGAAGAGTCTGAAGCGTGCATGTAGGGTGGGTGAGTTGCGGGGGTCGGCAACCAGGCAAATCACTAGCGAGGCTTTAGTACCTATCTTTTCTCTCCAGGATTCTTGACCAAAAGTTACACTCTAAAGTCCAAACAGGTACATACCTAAGGGGAATATGGTGGAAATGTCAAAGGGGAGATAGGCATGGTGCGGGGGCAGAAAAATCCCGGCAGACCACAGGCTGTACCACCCTTTGTTAAGGGTATGTGGCTACATTGATCTCTGGTCTTCAGATGCTCTTCCCGGTTAACACTGCCCAGTGACCTGCCTGGACAGGAAGCAAGTCACCTTAGTGCCACTGTCTCTTTCTCCTCTTAAGCCCTCAAACCATAATTGAATGTAAATGTTATACATTTTATAATGAAATAAAAATTGCGTAATGCGCCTAAGTAGATATGCCACACACCTATGGTTCAATGACTGAATGCTGACTTTCATATATGGCCCAAATTACAAAGCAGCAATCAGAACAGACAACAAGGGAACTCCTCTCCCAAGGGTTCAGCAATCTGACCCAAACTGCATAGCCCAGACAATCTGAATACACACATGCAAGTGTAAATATGCCCCAATCAGCTTTCCCAGGAAGCAGGAAGGTCTACACAGCCTCAATGAAGAGCACTATTTTGGACTGTTGCTGTCTACCCACCCTCTCCAGGGCTGTAATTCTTTAGAATTCCCCTTTCACACTTCTTTTCTCATCTGGTCAGCATTACCACTTTGCAGCCACTTATTTTCCATGGACATCTGCCACTTATCCTAACAAATAGCATTAATACAGATGAGAGCATGGAGCTTTTAAAATATGGACTAATAAATGTATAAACAGTACTTGGAAAGGGAGAGAAAGCACAGTAAACATGGCTAGATGTAGAGAATTAAATGAAATGTTTATAAAGCCTTTCACAAGATGTCCACACATTGCTGATGCTAGACAAATACCAAGTCCCTTATTCCTTCTCTTCCCTTTTAGTACCTGGATTTGTCACTAACAGGTACTGAGGTCTGAATAAATCAAGGCATGATTTCATTTCTCGGCCTCAGTTTCCTCATATAAAAAATTAAGATAGCTGTACTATCATACTAGTCTTTTTTTCAAGAACTAGTTCAAAAGATTCCCAGCCCCCCCAACCCCCGACCAGACTCTCCTCATGGCTGTCCTCAGTAAATATTTGGAAAAAGGGTGGGAAGTTTGTTTCTCCACCTTATATTCTTCCCAATAAAGGCAAGAAAAGTCAGGGATGGGCGTCGGGAGGGAATGCGAACCAACATTTACTGTACTTCTCTCACAGCCAGGAACGTTCACATACCTTGATCTTAGTCAACTGGCCTAAGTGAACTTGTCCCCATCACGACAAAACCCGAAGGCATTCTAAAAGCAAAGCAAAGCAAGGGCAGTGGATGAATTTTGTTAATTTAGTTCTCTACCTCACGTTAACCTCCAAGGAACTAAAAAAAAAAACTCCACAGCGAATTCAACATTAAAATAGCTCTGGGACCTCAAGATTTATTTCACAGCTTAAAACAAGGTCACCATCAAGTTCTCAGCAAAGCTCAAAATACAATAGAAGAGAGAACTCCCAAATCAAGGCCCAGCTTCTTTTAAATGCTAAAACAAAAACAAAACCCGGGTGCCGTGGCTCATGCCCATAATCCCACGGGAGGCCGAGACGGGAGGATTGCTTGAAGCCAGGAGTTCGATACCAGCGCGGGTTACGAAGCGAGATCCCATCTCTACAAAAAGTTAACACAGGCCGGGCGCGGTGGCTCAAGCCTGTAATCCCAGCACTTTGGGAGGCCAAGACGGGCGGATCACGAGGTCAGGAGATCGAGACCATCCTGGCTAACACGGTGAAACCCCTCTCTACTAAAAAAATACAAAAAAGTAGCCGGGTGAGGTGGCGGGCGCCTGTAGTCCCAGCTACTCGGGAGGCTGAGGCAGGAGAATGGCGTAAACCTGGGAGGCGGAGCTTGCAGTGAGCTGAGATCCGGCCACTGCACCCCAGCCTGGGCGGCAGAGCAAGACTCCGTCTCAAAAAAAAAAAAAAAGTTAACACAGACACACACTCACATCCACCACCTTAGCCTGGCTTAGGGTCGGGAGCCCCTGTTACGAAGCGAGATCCCATCTCTACAAAAAGTTAACACACACACACACACACCCTACCTTAGCCTGATGTAGTGGCGCCCTGTTGCCACCCACACCCACACCACACACCACACAACACCACACACACACACACACACACACACACACACACACACCACACACACACACCACACACACACACACACACACACACACACGCTTTGGACACACACACACACACCACACACACACACACACCACACACACCACACACACACACACACACACACACAACACACACACACACACACACACACACACCCTACCTTAGCCAGGGGTGGTGGCGCGCGCCTGTAGTCCCGGCTACTTTGGAGGCTGAGGCGGGAGAATCGCTTGAGCCCAGGAGTTCGAGGCTGCAGTGAGCCGAGATTGCGCCACTGTCCTCCACACACACACACACACACACACACCCACACACACACCCCCTACCTTAGCCAGGGGTGGTGGCGCGCGCCTGTAGTCCCGGCTACTTTGGAGGCTGAGGCGGGAGAATCGCTTGAGCCCAGGAGTTCGAGGCTGCAGTGAGCCGAGATTGCGCCACTGTCCTCCAGCCTGGGCGACAGAGCGAAACCGTATCTCTAAAAAAATAAATTAGAAAAAGAAGAAGACAAAAAGAACCAGACCGGTCTCGGAGAGGCAGGCGCAGCCTCAGCTCCCTGGGCCTGCGTCCCCAACCCGGCCCCGGCTGCACTCGCGCCCGCTGCGGGTCCCGGGGACACACCTCGCACACCGCGCTAGGCCCCGTTCCGTCCAGCCCGGGGGAGTGGAGGAGGCAGAGGCCGGGTGGGGAAGGGCCTCCAGAAACTGAGCTCCCGACGACGTCTCCCGCGACCCCAGCGCCGGAGAGAGGCGCGGCCCCCGGGAGCGATCCCACATCCGCGCAAGGCCGCGCCGGGCCGCACCGCCCCGGCCCTCCCCGCGGCCGCCGATCTGCTTCCAGGGCAGAGGGAAGGGGCGGTGACGGGGCGGGGCGGGGGCTGCGGCGAGGGCGGGCGCCGCTGGCGGGGGAGGGCCGTCAGCATCCTCCCTGGCCGCACCGCGCCGCGCGGGGCCCAAGGGCCGCGCCCACGCCCGCTGCCCGCTAGCTCGCCGGCTAGTCCCGTAGTCCGGCGCTGACACGCGTGCCCCCGGCTTGAACCGGAACCTCTTGAGGAGGCGGCCGCCGCCGCCGGGGAAGCGGACACCGACCGGGAAGCGCGGGGGGAGGCGGCCTGCGCGGCGCCGCCCGCCATGGCCGCGGCGGGGTGAGGTAGGCGCGGCGGCCGCAGTCGCGCGGACCCGAGCGCTCCTCCGCCGCGGATAGGCCGGCCGAAGGGGAGCCGGGGCCGTCGCCCGCTCGTCGCCGCCGCCGCCGCCCATGGCGAGGCCCCGCCGCCGCCGCCGCTGCTGACCCGGCGGCCGGCCGCGGCTTCCGCCCCCTCCCTTGGCGGCGAGCGGGCAGGCCTCCCCACACGCCCCCGCCGCCCGCGCCCCGCGTCTGCCCGACCCGGGTCGGGGAGAACAGGACCGCAGCAGGAGTCGGGGGGCCGCCGAAGATGGGGAACACTACCTCGTGCTGCGTGTCGTCCAGCCCCAAGCTCCGGAGGAATGCCCATTCCCGGCTGGAGTCCTACCGGCCGGACACGGACCTGAGCCGCGAGGACACAGGCTGCAACCTGCAGCACATCAGCGACCGGGAGAACATAGACGGTGAGTGCGGCCCGCCGAGCCCCCTGCCCTTCCCCGCGGCTTCAGCCGCACACCCAGCGTCGGGGCGGCCCGGCTGCACTTGCTTGCTCAGCCGGTCTCGGCGACCCTTGCATAACGGGGGCTTCGCCCGCGCAGCCGAGGCGCCCGGGGCCCCGCAGCCTCCGGGCGTACCCCTGGCTAGTTACCCCCAAGTGAGCGGCCGCGGAAACTTTGCAGGCCCGCGGCAACCAGCACGGCGGGCCGGGGGCGGGTGTGTGCGCGTGGGTCGCGAGGTGACAGGAGCCGGTCCTCGTCCTCAATGGAGCGGCCAGCGCTGGGCGGGGGCGGCCCGGGAGCTCGGGGTTCCGGGCATTACCTGAATGCAGCCCGAAGCCAAGTTGTGCACGTGTTTGTCCTGTAAAAGCCAAGTGAGTGGATTCCCATTTTGGAATCCCGGTGTCTCCAACCTGGAGTTGGAGAAACATGTTGCCTTGAGTCAGTTCCTCGGAAGCTTACAAATGGACTTCACTTGGCTGACCCCCCTTCCCATTCTCCCGTTTTTTTAAAAAAGATATTTTTGAGTGGCGGTTCCAGGATTAGAGTCAAATAGCTTCTCCCGAGAATGCTCTTTAAAAGATTGTCAAGACACCTTTGGGTTAAGTCACCCACTTTTTGCATGGGCCCGAATTGCAGTCCTATGAATTTATGATTTGTTCAGGTGACTTTTGGTTGGACTGGAGTTTGCAAAAAGAAAAAAAGCTAAGACTAATTACTGCACCCAGTAATGTTTTATTTTATTGGTTTGGCAACATATTTATTAGCACTGTTGCGCAATGATATCGACAGAGGGATATTTATGTATCATGCTTAAAATATAGTTTATAGAATTTTCAACTGAAAAGATTTGAAATTGGAAATATCTTTTTATGACAACGTGATTTTTTAAAACCCAAACATCTTCTCATAATCTGCTTGAACTAATATGAAAAAATTTTTGTGTGAATGAATGAACACAACTCCATAATTCATTTCTGTCGACTTTAGGATGGAATATTCTCTCTACTGTGGAAAGGCCACGTTTAAACTCTGCTAAAGGAAAGATTTTTCTCGTTTGTCTTTGTGTAATTTCTTCCAAGTGGTAATTTTATCTTTTTTTAGGAGAGCATCTTTATTAAATGAGTGCCATGTATAAAGAGACTAACACAACGTCTGGTTTCTAGTACGCGCTTAGTAAACTATCGTTCCATATGATGTTTCTAGTGTTGTTATTTTAGATTTCCATTATTTTAAACATACTCTTAGATGTTTGAACTACAGCCATATTTTCTTCTTAAATCTGTGCATTAAAGGCATTTAAAGCAGGATGAAGGCCACATCAGTTTTGATCACTTTCACAGCCTCTAGCATCTGAAAGAAAAGTCCAGCATATAACAAACATTCAGTAAGTATTGCACTTTAAAGGGAGGAATAAATGAATGAATTTATTACAGAAAGCCATTACCCAGTCCTATACTATGTTGACAGGCGAAAACATTTGGAAATAATTTCTTCTTTATGCTGTGCAGTAAATTTCTTTATGTTGTGCAATATCTAGCGGAGGCTTTATGTTTTGAATGATGGATCAAAAAAAAAAAAAAAGAAAAGAGAAAAAAACAAAAGATTTACATTTCTTAGAGCCAGGCTGCATAGTTATTATAGACTATTGTAAGGAAATAATGTGGAAAAAATAAGTGTAACCAGGTATTTGGCACTAAGGCTTAGTACAATTTTGCCAGAGTACAGTGAAATGATATTTTGTGTTCTTTCATTTCAAAGAAATCTTAAGTTTCAGTCATTAGGAATTTTTGAGAGAACGTTTGGAAGACTGTTTTGCAGATTCAGCGTAGTTTAAGAGAGTATAGGGCAGGTTTCCAATCTAGGCTGTGGGGTGTCCTCTCATCCCAGATCCCAGTTCTTATGATTATGCTAGTTTAAACCCCAAAATACTAATTCATCTTCTGTCTCTCAGATTCAATAAAGAATACTTCCAGCATTGACCCAGCCAGCAGTTCTCAACATTGGTTTCAGTTAAACTAGAAATCTAGTACTGTACATTGCCATTAATATGTTTAATTAAATCTCTCCAAGGTGGTTCTGAGATGCAGGTAGGCCTGAGAATTGTTGGCTGGACGAATCTTGGAAGTGTTACCTGCTGTTCAGGGACATTTTTGGCAGAAACTCATTATTAGAGGCTGAGAGAAGAGAACAGTTTTAATTAGATAGTATGTATATATGCACACAACATCTATATGTCTATATTTGCTAATCTGTATCTGTATGTATTTGAACTGAGTTATATTGATTGTTAGGTTATTAGTAAACATTTTAAAACTAGATTTTAAGAATTACTGATTCTAGTATATATCAAAAGCTGAAGTACTCAAGTACCATTTTTTTTTATGTTCTGAAAAACATCCCACCCAGCTGGTTTAGAAAGGTTTGAAGTTCATGGGTCTTCTATGATAGGTTAGCGTCTTTAAATCACAGAGATATGATATATGTATCCATGTTTTCTTCCCTCTGTCACCAAACACATGAAGGGATAATATTTGTCCTGTAGAATTTCAGTAACAATTTTAGAGTCCGGGTACTTAGATGTCTATGGTGCTTTATGGCAACTTAATGTGTCTTTGTACTTAGTGTATCTTAGTGTTAGGTGATTCATGTTTTTGAAATTGGTATTAGACTCATGCTCCCCAGGTATTATTTTTTATAAAATCATTCAGAGATTGAGAAAAAACAACAACACATAACAACGATAGTAATCTTCAGAACAATTCTTTAGGAAAAGAAAAAAAATGATAGTAATAATTGCAACCTATATATTACTTTGTCTGTACCAGCTGCTGCTCTAAGTACTTGGATTCCATTCATTTACTTAGAACTCACAGTAACCCTATGGGTAATATTATCCTTACTTTAGGACAAAGAAATGAGTCATTGAGAGGAGAAATGACTTGTCCAAAGTCACACAGCCAATATGTGGCAAGTGGAAACTTTCCATTGTTGCTTGACGTAGCCATCAAACGTTAGCTAGTCTGGGGTTGCCTTCTGGGGTAGGGTGTCTTGTCATTGCAGTCATATCCATACTTTCTCAAAGATAAACAGCTTCTGTCTGCAACAGTTATTCAGTCCAGACTTCCAGGACTAGATTATTTCTGTGGGAGGAAAAAGGGAGGGAGGGACTAAAGAAAATTTAAAATGTGAGGAGACCAAATAAATCAGGATACTTGTAACAGCTGTACCATAGAGTCTTTGTAGGGTTTTACCTCAAAATGGTTAATGGCAACTTCATTTTTTTTTTTTTTTTTGAGATGGAGTTTTGCTCTGTCACCCAGGCTGGAGTGCAGTGGCACAATCTTGGCTCACTGCAACCTCCGCCTCCCCAATTCAAGCGATTCTCCTGCCTCAGCGTCCCAAGTAGCTGGGATTACAGGCATGTGCCACCATGCCCGGCTAATTTTGTATTTTTAGTAGAGGAGAGGTTTCTCCATATTTGTTAGACTGGTCTCGAAATCCCAACCTCAGGTCATCTGCCCACCTTGGCCTTCCAAAGTGCAGAGATTATGGGGGTGAGACACCGCTCCTGGCCCATTCTTTTCATTTTTATAGCTTACCTGTCATACTTGACAACTCACTTTCTCCCTCGTCTTGTATCATATCTGGTAGGAAAGTGTGGCTGTCCGTCCTCAGAATACATCCAGAGTTTGACCACTCTCAAGACTTCTACTGCTGCTGTTCTGAAGATCTAAGCAGCTGCCGTCTCCACCAGCCCACCTGGTCTCCCTGCTTCCACCCTTGCCTGCTCCAGTCTGTTCTCAACACAACAGCCATGGCTGAGATCCTTTAAAAAACTTTAACTTATTCCTTCACTCAAAAACGGCAGTGACGCCTCATTGCACAAGTAAAAGCCGTACGGTGCTCTTCAGGGCCCCTTGGGATCTGCCTGCCATCAGCTCACTCAGTCGTTCATTCCAACTACATTGGCCTCCTTCCCTGCCCCTCCTGGAACATACCAGACACAAACTTCCACCCCTGTTCTCTCCCTCTGCCTGAAGTGTTCACCATGTGCTCTCTTGGCTGAGTCCCTTTATCACCTGCAGCCTTGGTTCAAGCCTGACCTTTTCAGGGAGGCCCTCCCAATCACCTTTAAACATCCTTTCTGCTGCCCACTGGCAATGCCAGTGCATATTCCCTGCACTCCTGTTTTTTTATTCCC